AGGCTTGCACAAACCCATATAAATCTCTCAAGCCTGTGACATGCAGCTTCCTTCCCTGGGCAAGGCAGGAGGGTGCAGAGATTCTGCCTCTGCCTTGCTCCTACTGTCCCACTACAGCACTCTGTCTCCGGCAGCAGCAAAGGGCAAACCTCCACCCAACCTCCATGGCTGCCAGAGCAGCTGTTCAGGATGCCCCAGGTTCTCAAGATCATGCATTGCCTGTGTTGCATAGGGGCTGCATTCTGGCAACTGCTTCGGATCAGGTTCTCCTAGAGGGAGTCCACGCCAGTGCCTTGTGGAGGGAACTCGTTGGTGCCCAGCCTGTGGTCCAGGCTCCATGGGAGGCAGGAGCTCTGGCTGGGGGAAGTTTACCTTCCCTCCCTACTTGTTTTATTGATATAGCTATTTGAAGTATTCCCTATTTTGGTGTATTTACTAGCTTGAGTTGTTAGAAAGGATGATAACACATGTACTCCATTTAAATTGGACAGCGGGAACTGTGTCTAATCACTTCCATCAAATACAGCGGCAAGATGATCAAGCAAACTTCCATGGATTTCTTTTTTGGAAAGAGTTAATGATGAGAAAAGAGAATGATGTTCGAAGGATAAAGAGGAAGACATTGTAGACTGGGTGGCCAACTCATTACATGAAGACAGCCAAAACAGCAACGGAAAAAATGCAAAGAGCTGCACCAGAAATTTTTTTCAGCAATTTTTGCTGAGGAAAAAAAAAAAGGATGCTGCCCCTTTAAAAGACAAGGCTTTTTGGCCACATCAAGCTCCCGTCGGCCGCCGCCATCCTGGCAACACCATCATTTTGGATCATCGCACCAGACAGCTACCCTACCCCAGTAAGCACAGGGAGCCTGGGGCCGGGGACCATTTCTAGGTGTGCAGGGGAGGCTTCATGAGCCGCACTTCAAGGGTTTATGAGCATGTGGCTCACGTGCTGCTGGTTGGCCATCCCTGTTGTAGACTCTTTGCACAATGAGGATAACCAACGCCAAGAAAATGCAGAAAAACAAAAGACAGCAATGTTCAATTGCAAGGATGACTCCTTGTATTTAAAGTATGCTTTTATTGCATGTGGTGATTCACAGGCTCCAAAAGCACTGTGTGTTATATGTTCCGAAACAATGTCCAATGAAGCAATTAAATCTTCAAAGCCAATTCGGAACTTAGAGGCTAAGAATCCTGCTCTCAAAGGACAAAAACAATTATTTTGCATTGCCACATGCGCACCCTCAAACGTGGCTGCTTTGAAGGCAACGTTTCTCATAGCTCACCGAATTGGCAACGCTAAAAACCTTTTTACAACTGGTGAAGAACTGATTCTTCCTTCTGCAAAAGATGTCTGTCCTGAGCTGTGTGGGGAAACAGCAGCTTGTAAGGTAGAACAAGCTCCTCTTTCTGCCAACACCGTTGCCAGGAGGATCGACGAAATAGCTGAGGACATCAAGAAGCAGTTGCCATGGTTTTTGATTCAGGTGGATGAATCAATCAATACTGAAAACAAGGCAATGCTGTTAGTGTATGTGCATTATATTTTTGAGGATGACATGCATGAAGATTTACAGTGTGCACCTCCCCTACCTAACACAAGAACAGGGGCAGAAATCTTCAGAGTTTTGGATGGTTATGTTGCAAGTAGGCTCAACTGGACTTATTGTGTTGGAGTTTGTACTAATGGCATTGCTGCAATGACTGGAAGGCTTTCCAGTTTCATGACCAAGGTAAAAGAAGTGGTGCCTGAATGTGAGTCTACCCGTTGTGTTATTCATCACGAAACCGAAAACTTTGTCCTGAACTTCTCAATGTTTTGCATAAAGTGAGCCATTTCGTTAATTATATCAAAACACATCCACTAAATTCATGTTTATTTGAACCACTGTGTGAGGATATGGATGCTGAACACAAATAGCTTCTGCTGCATACAGAAGTTCATTGGCTATTGAGAGGGAAAACCTGACCAGAGTCTTAAGTTAAGAGAACAGCTGCAGAGATTTCTCACAGATAAAAAGTCACCATTAGCTTCACATTTTAATGATAAGATCTGGCTTGCTAAACTTCCACTGACTGAACTCAATCTGTTGGTGCAAAGGAGAAGGGCATCCGTTTAAGATGGTGGATAAAATCACAGCCTGGGGGGAAACATGTGAGTAGAATTTTTTACGTTTCATATTTTTATGGATTTTTCAGAAGAAGCTGTTGGATTTTCTTAGTTAATAAGTGAATACCTCAAGTCACTCTCAGAGGCATCAGAGCAAAATTTCCCAAATTCAAAAGATCCGAGAGTCGGGAAAGAAAGCCACTACTGCAAGAGGATCCATTGATTGAACTGCCATGTTACAGAGGACTTAAAACTTTGTTTAATGTATCCTCATCTCTGTCGTCCTTCTGGGTTAAAATAAAGGGTGAATATCCAGAACTCAGCTAGTTCTGAAGACTTTGCTGCCATTTCCATCTACATACCTTTGTGAAATGGGTTTCTCTGCAATGACTGCTACCAAGACATGACATTGGGATAGACTTGACATGAGAAACACACTGCAAGTCTCACTGTCAAGCATAATATTTTGATATAACTTGCTCATGTCTAGAGAACAGCCTAACAATCCAACTGATGTGATCTCATCAGTAAGTCATTTATTTTCATGTTATTTAGCAGCTAGACTAACTAGTGATAATTTATGTATGATTTTTAAAACTGGTGGAAGTAAAATACTTTGAGAAGTGATGTCTTATGTGTGATTTTTAACAGTGGTGGAAACATAATACTTTGGGTAGCTAGCAATGTAGTGTGTATGTTTTTCAAGGTGGAAAGTGAATACTTTGGGAGGGGAATAATAAAAAAAAATCTGTCAAAATGACATGCACTGTGTGTGTACAGATGCAATGTAAAACAACATGTTACCGTTTAAAGTTAATTACCATAATGAATATGCAAATGTTTCTATACTGGTCCTCCAAAAGTTTTTGAATGCATTTGCCGGTCCGTGGTGTAAAAAAGGTTGGGAACCACTGCTCTAGAGGACGTAAGAGCATACGTGTCACTTTAGATGCCTAAATCCCAGAATTTGGCACCACTGGGATTCATGAAACCACTGTTCAGCTGCCACCAAACTCTGTGGGCTTCTAAAATTGCTCATTACTTAACATACATCTGATGAAGTGGGTCTTTGCCCACGAAAGCTTATGCTCCAATATATCTGTTAGTCTATAAGGTGCCACAGGACTTCTTGTCGCTTTTGCAGATGCAGGCTAACACGGCTACCCATCTGATACTCAGTACTTATGTTTCTCCCTCTGTGCATTCACCCTGCAGTGCCATGCCAGGTATCCAGGGAACAGGAAAAAATCCCAGATACTCTTTAGCTCAGTGATGAGGATACTCAGCTTGGATAAAGGAGACTCCCATGTTCAGCTCATCCCCTTTGCTGGGGATGGGATAGAATGGAGAGAAGTATTTGTACAGAGATCTACACCTCTGAGGTGAGCTCCCTAAAATGAGATATTCAGATGTGGGGACTTTCTCAGTTACTCCTGGGCAAGGGAGCGAGGGACTGGCTCTATGCTTCCACAAAGGGTGTGCTTTGGGAAGAAGGTTCAGTGCCTGGGGGCAGCCAGACCCTTAGCATGACCCAGAGCAGGCCATACCATGTCTCCTCTCCCCATGTGCACATTTGGGCTCAGGCTCCAACCCTGGAGACCCATCTTCCTCCAACCCCAGGCTTCCAAGCCTAAATGTCCACATGGCTATTTTCAGTCCCACAGCATGAGACCCAAATGTCCACAATCTGTCACTGCAACAGAGAAGGGCATCCGTTTTTAAAATGAGTTGGTTGACTGGTGCTCTGACACTCACTGCCGCTTTTTTGTGCATAGCTGTGCCTTTAGCCATATGTTTTCCTTACTTTCCCCGAGCAACTGAGAGCTCTCAATCTTTGGATTTTATTTTACTGCTTTGGAGCTTACATGGTAAATTCTCTCTTGTGGGGCTGCAAATCTCAGTCCCTGAACTGAACTGAGCATGCAAGGGAAAGGCCGTCATGCTGATGCAGTGGCCCTACTGATCAGCTTTCAGTGGTGGACAGGAGGTGCTTGGGAGAGGTGGTGCAGCAGGGGCAGGAAGACTAGGAATGAGGACAATGCTTCAGGGAAAGGGGTGAAGCAAAGGTCGGACCTTAGAATGGATCAGGGGTGGAGTACACACGGAAAAACAAAAGTCAGTGCCTGTAATACCAACTACCACAATCCTCAACTTGGTCACCCTTGCAGAAGTCAGTGCCTCAGTGAGTCCAGGTGCCATGTCCAGTGTAGGCAGTGCCCCACCCCCCATCAGATTCAGCTGCCACCCATCATCCCATTCTGATTAAGTATTACTCCCAGGAACAGGCATCTCCTTCCACTGAAGGTCAGGTCCCAACCCAGCCCAGGCAGGTTCAGCACTGCACCCTCAGAGCCACTTCCTGTTTGTGAAGCTTGAGTTGCTGGAGGCTCCCTCCAGTCACACAATAGCATATGTGGCAAATGTCGGTCACTAGTGAGGCCCATTCCAGGTTGCCATCGGAGTGGGATGTTATTCCCTCCCATTTCTCCCCCTCCCTCCCCCAGCTTCTATAAGGCTCCCATGCAGTTCAAGGGGCTGACTTGCTCTTCAGGCTTGCATTAGTGTTTCTTACCTGCGTATCGTATGCTCTTCCCAAACACAGCTGTCCACAGGTAAGGAACTGTACTGATTTCCATGCCATGGGCTAGCATATTCAGAGCTGCTATACGGCCTGGAAAACCAAGGAAACAAAATGCAAGAAAGGAAACAATAGAAGTCTTGCCACATGCAGGCCCAGACTACGTGGAGTGCATCAGGCCAGACCTGCCATAAAGGAGGGGGAGCAAAGAGGGCAGCTAACATGGGCCCCATAATTCAAAAGGGTCCAGGGCTCCTAGCCATTGCTGCTACTGTGTGGTCACAGCCAGAGTAATGTGCAGCACCAAAGGACTGGCAAGAGAGGCTAGCCCCAACCCCCTCCTTTCAGCATGGACCAGCTCCCCCACATGCAAACCAGTTCCAGGAGTGTGGCAAATCTGTCAGCCTCCCTGGATTGTGCCCAGCTCTTTAAGATGATTTAGAGCCTTTTGCTATGAATTCCTTTACTCGCACTTTAAGTAGAGCCCAAGACTTAGACTAGTCCCCACCCCCACCAGCAGAACAAGAGCAGGAGTTTCATGAGCCACAGTGCAAGCAAGGTTGTGGTGAAGCACCTTGATCATCTGCCTCTGAAGGAAAGTTATATGGTTCTTGTTCACCTGTAGGCCCTTAGTTTGCACATTTAGATGGTGCCCTCCCATCCCCAAGCAGACTGTCTATTAATACAGATGTCACAGAAGCTTTCAGAGACCACCCTGACATTTTCTGCTGCAGCTCCAGGTTGGTGGGGCCAGAGCTCTTCACTGCCTCAGGGGACATGAAGCTCTAAGCCACTGAGAATGCTGGAGACCCTAGAGCTCTGAGCTACTGGGACAGAGGGAGCTGTCCACAGTCGTTGGTGCTGGATTTCTCTCTCCCTCCAGTAGCAGGCCTCGGGCTCTCCCCCCTTCCCTGGGGTATTGATCAGTCCCTCCCCCTCTCCCATCACCCTCCCCCAGTTTTTAATAAAAGTAACAGACAGTTCACAAGCATCCATGAATTTTTGTTTATTGCTTGCAGCCAGTTCTTAACTTTTACTAAAAATAACCACAACAAAATATTAACCCTAGCTAGCAATCTTCCCACCTCCCCACCTTCAGGGCTCTTTCACAATGGCAGGACTGAATGCCAACTAGGATCTTTTGCAGATATCGAGAAATGAACAAGGAGAGATGGGAGGAGGAGAAGGGATGATGGAGAAAACACCTCTCAAGAGTGGAGACTTTTGCCCCATCAAGTATAACTGCCCCCCCAGATCTGTACTGATACCAAGCTGATTCAGAGCTCCATAGACTGAGAATGACATTGCCGTGGGCAAAAGGGCAGCATATTTTCAGTGCGGACGCTTGTTTATGTCGTGTCATGATATTCAAACTTCAAAGCACGTTGAGAGCAATGCTTACAGAGCATTATGTTCCAAAAGAAGGACAGTCTGGGAGATAACACACCAAAACCTGACCACTTAGGTGTAGAGAATCAACAAGTATAGTGCATTGGCCGCGTGACAGGGCATCCAAGGACAAAACCAAGAAAAGCTGCAGACCTTGGAGGATGATCCAGGAGTCAGCGGGGACGCGCGTGATCAAGAGTCCTGAGCCAACAATAACAACATCTGCCAGAGTCAACGACCTTCGAGAATGCTGTGTTGGGACTGTGAGAGAGCACAGTTTGTGAAAAGCAGGATGTGGACTTTTGGGAAGTTGAGAGGGAATAAAGATAGTTGTAATCTTGCAATAAAACGATTTTGTGCTTGCAACGGCCGGAGTCCGTGCCTTCATACACCACACTTGGGCACCTGCCTGGTGGAGCCATGGTGGAAAGCATGAAAATGGGGAAAGGCTCGTGCAAAAGAGGAGAAAGGGGCTAGTATGCAAGTGGGGAAATGATAAGTCCTTCAATTTGCCAGGGAGATTTTCCTCTTTTTCTATGTAAACTGTTGGGCATTCAGAGAAGCAAATATCTATGGCCAATAGGTTAAGGACAATAAAGGGATTTTAAAATATACAGGGAAGGAATTCTAGCAATGATCTAGGCCACATTGGATTATGTTCAATATGAGCACAGAGAAGATAGTTTGAGCCAGAAATATGTAGACTTGGCATTTGAAAAATCACTCATTTCCCAAAGTTAAAAGCCATTATGAGCAAAATTAAGTAAGAAGAATAAATGAGATAGAAAAATGTGAATGAAAAATAGGAGTTCTTATGATCAGAGGACCAAAAAGCCATGATTCCTCACTGAAGAAAGGGAACAAATTAGGCTACAAACCCATCCTGGTTTAATGGCAAAGCGAAGGCAGCAATTAGAATGAAAAAAGAAACATAACAAATGGAAGGATAGGGAAATACGAGGACGTCAATGTCAGTTATGAGGCTGTGAAGTACAGAAAATTGGTAAGAGATCACAGGGTGGCTGACCCATTTAACTGAAGCAGGGCCTGTTCCCCTGTGCCAGTGTGGCCATTAAGAGGGTGAGGGCTATAAAGAAGCAGGGCAGCAGTGCCCTAAGAAGATGGATCTGATGAGTTGGCATTTCCAGTCTCATTCAGGAAGAAGGCAGGTGAGAGCTCCTATAGCCAGGAGCCCACAGGAGGTCCTGGAAGGAAGCAGAAGATATCTCCTCAGAGGAGGGTGAAGGCCAGAGTGATGCTTTTGTTAGCTGATTTCCCTGAACCAGTGCTGGAGAGGGCAGATGACAGAAAGGAGGAGATGTGCCTGCTAGCTCTAACCAGAAAGCTGAAGGTGGAAGAGGGCAGGAGGCATGAGAGCGGTTTGCAGCTGATGTGCTGGAGAATGGACCCAGGGAGCAGTGAGAGGTTCCCGCTGGGAAGAGTGGAGTTGCACTCCATCTGGAAGGGCTTGATTTCCCTGAACCAGTGCTGGAGAGGGCAGATGACAGAAAGGAGGAGATGTGCCTGCTAGCTCTAACCAGAAAGCTGAAGGTGGAAGAGGGCAGGAGGCATGAGAGCGGTTTGCAGCTGATGTGCTGGAGAATGGACCCAGGGAGCAGTGAGAGGTTCCCGCTGGGAAGAGTGGAGTTGCACTCCATCTGGAAGGGCTTGGGTGACTGTCCTGGTGGAGTGTTGATACAGTAGGAAACATTACATCTTGAGTATGCAGTCCCAGCAGAGAGGCGTGGTGGGGAGGGGTGAGGTTCCTGTCTGAAAGACCAGGGGTGTAAGGCCTATACTCCAGTGATGGACTTTTGACTACTGATTGATTTTCACTGTGCTCTGATAATAAACTGGCTCCAAGGAGCAGAATTATTGAAGCAAGAAAGCCAATATAAAGTTACTAGGGACTCTGCAGGAAGGAAACTGAGGCAGATGTGCCACTCTCCATGCTGAAGAGAACATATGTCATAGGGTGGCGGCCTCTTTCAGTGTAGTAGGCCCAGCTCCCCTGTGTTTGTTGAGGTGCTCCTAACTCTGACCAGCTGAAGGTGGGCAGCACCTGGAGCTATAAAGGATCAGGGGGAGAGAGATCTGGCTGAATCAAAGCTGCCAGACTTTGTCAGTAAAAAACAGTAGTTGATGTTGGAAAGCAGGCTTTTTCTGTCCATGGCCTTCGCGTATAGCCCATCCTGCCTCACAAGGCCCCTCACAGAAAACCCAGACTGTGAGATACTCAGAGAAGTATGGGACGCACAATGCAGTTTTCTGTAAAACAGAATTTGGCCTTGCAGGCATCATAGAACAGGGAGGTGAGCATGAAAAAATAGAACACAAGCTGCAAGAGATAAATAAGACTCTCTCGACCAGTCCTTGAAGGCAGGGAGGTAGTCATAGGGAGATAAGACGCAACTGCCATGCACACTGACCATGCCCACACCCAGCACTGTCCACGGGGCCATCAGGCCGGGCATCATGAAAAATTCTATAGGGCAGTATTTTACGTTACCTCATTACCAGCCTATCAGGCCCAGCCAGGGAACTGACCCTAATAAGGTACCGGATATCAGGTTATGTTATAAAAGACCCTCAACCCCTTTGTTCGACGGAGGTTCCTTGCCCGGCTAAAGGACTGATCACCCTAAAGCTGCCTTCCCACCCTTCGAGTCAAATATAGGGGTGCATGAGTCCTGAGCATGCTCCGAGTTCTAGTGTGTCTTTATGTTGTTATCGTTTCTGGATTTGTAAGTATTGCTTAAATTTATTAATTGGTGGTTTAGTTAATAGTTAAGCTGCATTAATTACATCCTATAATCCTGTGAAGTATAAGTAAGTCATATTAATTGTATTGTATAGATAGTGTGATTTTGTGCTATGTGAAAAGGTTAAGTTTTAGCCCAGGTATAAGTGTTAGAAGAAAAACCCAGGAGTTGTCAACTTGTAACAGTAAAAAATCCATGACTAACTCCACCAGCTGTCCTAAAGTAACATTGGAGGGATTGGCTGTGGGTGGTTCTTTTATTATTATTATTTTACCTTTGTTTTTTGTATTTTTCATTTGTATGCTGCCTTGTCTTAGGCGAAGAATTAGAGATAGTGATTTAATATAAGTAAATTGTAATCTAGGAATTGTAATCAGTTAGGTATAGTTGTGTTCAAGTTTTCTACCCTGTAAAAGTATTAGGCAATTGTTAGTTAAAAAGACCATTTTCTAATTGTTGGTTTTGATAAAAGAATCATTCCACTTAATAAAGATCATTTGTTTTACACCATCATCCAGTAGTTTTCACTGGGTAATCAGCTTTAACCCTTGAAGCTTCCACCACATCACCGAACATCTTTCTGCCCCACGTCCCCCACAAACTGGATACAATTTTGTGGTGACCTTGAGGCTTTTTTTCGCCGCCTCCGTCTCCGAGAATATTTCCAAACCACCACTGAACATCAATCTGACCTACCAGATCCCCCCTACCAACACCAAAGGAAAAATAATTCTATATGGACTCCCCCTGACGGTCGGAATTACAATCTGGATTTCTATATACACAGCTTCCGCAACAACGCACAGACTGACATTATTCGCAAACGACAACAAGCGACACACAATCTTAGCCGCGCTGAACACCATGCCATCCAGAGTCTCAAAAACAACCTGGACATTGTAATCAAACCAGCTGACAAAGGGGGTGCTGTGGTCATTATGAATAAGGCCGACTATAACCAGGAGGCAACCAGACAACTCTCGAACACCACATTTTACAAACCTCTCCCCTCTGATCCCACCTTGGACTACCAAAAGAAACTACACTGTCTCCTTAAAAGCCTCCCCACAGCTACTCGGGAACAAATCCTCACAGAATCACCTTCTGACCCCCGACCAGGATTGTTCTATCTACTTCCCAAGATCCATAAACCTGGGCACCCCGGACGTCCCATCATCTCTGGTATTGGCACGCTCACTACTGGTCTATCCAGCTATGTAGACACTCTTCTCAAACCCTTCGTAACCAATACCCCCAGCTATCTCCGAGACACTACTGACTTCCTAAGGAAACTACAAAACATCGATAACCTCCCCAATAATACCATCCTTGCCACCATGGATGTAGAAGCTCTATATACCAACATCCCACATGAAGACGGATTACAAGCAATTAGAAACACTATCCCAGAGGACACTACTGCCAACCTGATAGCAGACCTATGTAACTTTGTTCTCACCCACAATTATTTCCAGTTTGAGAACAACTTATACCTCCAGATCAGCGGCACAGCCATGGGTACACGCATGGCCCCACAGTATGCTAACATCTTTATGGCTGACCTAGAACAACGTTTCCTCAACTCCCGTCCCCTTTCACCCCTCCTCTACCTACGGTACATCGATGACATCTTTATGATCTGGACACATGGCCAAGAAACACTGGAGATATTCCACAGAGATTTCAACAACCTACACCCCACCATCAACCTCAGCCTGGACCATTCTACACGAGAGATCCACTTCCTGGACACCACCGTACAAATCAACAATGGAAAATTAGACACCACTCTCTACAGAAAACCCACTGACTCATACAGTTACCTACATGCATCCAGCTCCCATCCAGAACACACCACACGATCCATCGTCTATAGCCAAGCCCTTCGATACAACCGCATCTGCTCTAACCCCACTGACAGAGACCAGAAGCTTCAGGATCTCTACCAAGCATTTATAAACCTCAACTACCCACCCGGAGAAATAAAAAAGCAAATTGAAAGAGCCAGACGAATACCTAGAAACCATCTACTTCAAGACAGACCCAAGAAAACCAACAATAGAACACCACTTGTCATCACCTACAACCCCCAACTTAAACCTGTCCAACACATTATCAATAAACTACAGCCTATATTGGAACAGGATACCATACTCAAAGAGGCTCTGGGAGACAGACCCATAGTCTCCTATAGACAACCACCTAACCTCAAGATGATTCTTACCAACCACCACAGGACATACCACACTAATACCAACCCTGGTACCTTCCCTTGCAACAAACCCCGTTGCCAGCTTTGTCCACATATTCATTCTGCTGATACCATTATTGGACCTAACCAAGTGAGTTATAAGATCAAGAACACATATTCCTGCGCATCCAGAAATATAATCTATGCTATCATGTGCCGAAAGTGTCCGTCTGCTATGTACATTGGACAAACATCTCAGACACTTCGCCAAAGGATTAATGCCCACAAAACAGATATCAGACAAGATCACAAAGAGAAAACAGTTTCTTGCCACTTTAACCAGAAAGGACACTCTCTAAATGACTTAGCCACCTGCATTCTGCTACAAAGACCTTTTACATCTGCACTTGAAAGGGAATCCTCTGAACTGTCATTCATGTTAAAATTCGACACTTACCACCAGGGACTTAACAAGTCTTTGAACTTTCTCACCCATTATCAAGACAGTTTCCCCAATTATCACCTGTAATACCATTAACTCACAAACATCCCACTCTCCCTACCTCTAATATCATCAATTCACAGACACTTACCTTCCTTCCTCCCCCTTCCCACCCCCCCGCCTCCTCCTTCTGTTCTGCAATGTGATTTGTCCTTTTCATATTTGTTCTTTTTTTTAATTGTATCCTTTGGTATATATGGTTGTGACTACTTTCTTCCACTATTTGATCTGAGGAAGTGGGTCTGGCCCACGAAAGCTCATCATCTAATAAACCATCTTGTTAGTCTTTAAAGTGCTACATTGTCCTGCATTTTGCTTCAACTACCCCAGACTAACACGGCTACATTTCTATCACTTCTCTGAGGTGTTTGTTAAAGACACACCTCTCTGTCATGTTTTATCTGGAAGAGGAGACAAAAGGCCCCACCTGTGTAACAACAGGGTTAAAAGGGAACGAAACAGACCTGGCAAAACTTTTGACCGTGGCAGAAAATTTTTTAAAGAAATCTGATAGCCATGTGTCAGCCATCCTTCCAGCTACCCCTGTTATCCACGGTAGTCCAAGGCACACTCTCTTAATAGAGTTAGTTCAAAAGTTAGAAGAATCCCGAGAGCAAAAGAAATTAAAGCCTGATAAATTTAAACTCGAGAAAGTAGCAGAGGTTTTGTGGGTCATGTTTAAAACGACTCTCTGAAAATTAGACTCAAGCCACGCAGCACTAAGTTTTGCTGCGTGTGAGGCTCATCAAAAAATTGAAGCTAACAATCCCAATCGAGATATAGATGTGCCTCCGGAGAAAAGACCTAGTCCAACTGTTGAGATCTCCCAGGGACCAGAGAACTGGAGGAAGCAGAAGGTGGCTCTTGGGTAAAGGCTGAAGGCGGAAGAGCCGCAAGAGGGGTTTGCAGTCTGGCTTCCCAGAGCCAGGGCTGGTGGAAGGAAGGAAAGTAGCAAAGGGCCTGTCCTGTCAACACACTGAAGGGCTAGACACTGGGGAACAGGGCAGTGAGGGATGCTGACTGATTTGCACTTTGTTTTTACAACAAACTGGACCCAAGAAGGGGTATTAATGAGGCAAGGAAACTCGTGGGTCATTACTGGACAGGCATGCGTGTCATGCCCCAGCCTGCTGCCGGAAGGTACCACTGGAGCTAAAGGCACGAGGGAAAACCCTGGCATTGCAGAGCAAAGTACTAAAACTCTCCAAATAAATTGCTTCTGGTTGACTTTGGTGAAATGAAAACCACTGATGTTTTTATATGTGATTCTGCTATCAGTACAGCCCAGTGGAGGTGGGTACTCGTACTGCCTTGCTCCTGGGATTTTACAACTTGATCAGTGGGCAGACTTGTGTTTCTGCAAAATGGTTTATTTGTAGCCCAGTGGTAACCACAATGCACTAGGTACTGTCTAGAAATGTACAGGACCAGAGTGAAAAGGTATTTAAGTGCCTAAAGGCGAAGGTTTTGCATGTACCTGCATAATTAAATGCTGAAATCTCTTTAAATCTGAAAAAAACATTGCATCAGGACTATATTGGCCAATCTAAGATAAACAAGCTATAAAGGAATAATGAGGATAGTATCATTAATAATAAATCCCCATTCCCCCTCTGCCTAAGCCCAACTGCCTTTAACAAGCCAGAACTGATTGGCTAACTTCCTGTGCATCTTCATGACGAGCTTATCACTGAGTAGTCCAGGAGCCCTAACAGGAAGGGACTGAAATATACCCACCATGCATATGTGCCATCTGCCAGTGAGGGATGTTCACCTTCTTGTTGTTACGCAAGGCCAGTGGGAACGTGACAGCATCACCAGCTGCAAAAACTCCTGGGATGTTGGTCTGCATCATCTGAAAGGAAGCAAAGGGCTCTGGGTATTATGCCACAACAGGCCTTACAAGTGCAAGGTCAGAAGCATCACTGCTTCATGCTGCTGACTCAGACTCAGCAACAAAGAAATGTCCCCCCTCCCTCCTTTACTGCAGCTACCACAGGGGAGCTAGCCAATCGAATCAATTGCCTTGGGAGGTTGTGGAATCTTCATCATTGGAGATATTTAAGAGCAAGCTAGACAAACACCGAGTCTGAGTGGTCTAGATCGGAGTGGGGAAAATATGGCTTGTGGGCCAAATCTGGCTCACCAAACTGCTGGATCCAACCCGCCACCCTCCTTGGCCTGGTGGAAGCTTTGGACAGGCTCCCTGCCTTCTGCACCCTGGTGGTGCTCAAACCACCAGCTGTGGGGGCCATGTGTGTTTCTGCGCACTATGAAACCCAGGAGGGTGGGGGGAAGGCTTCACATGTTGCCCCTGCCCTCAGCACAATTTTGGAGTTCCTATTGTCCATAAACCGGCCAATGGGAACTGCCTGGGCCATGCCTGTGGTGCAACCAGCGCATACAGAGCTCCTCCCCCTGGGGCACCTGCCCTCTTTGAGCAGCATGCGGGGGTGCAGAAGGCAGGGTCCCTGCTAGGCTGCTGCTGGCCAGGAGTAGTCTAGGTAAGCAACTCCTGGTCAGAGTCTGCACCTGGCATCCCAACCCCTCTCTCCCCTAATTGTCTGCTCCTCCTTCTGCACCCCTACCCCAGGTCACAGTCCTTAACCCGCTGCACCTACACTCATACCCCCTCCCAAACTCTGCACCTCAATCCCCTGCCCCAGGTCACTACCCAAACCCCGGCACCTGCACATCTCCTCCTGGTCAGAATCCTCTTCTACACCCATAGCCATGCCCCATCCCAGACCCTGCACCCCATTCTGCACTTCACTCCACTCAAACTCCCTCCCAGACTCCACACCCTATTCTGCACCCCAATCACCTACCCTGAGCTCCTTCTGCACCCAACCCTATCCTAGATCCTGCACCACCCTCAATTAATATCATGGAAGAGTGTGGCCCTTGACCACATACCAAGTTCTTACCTCCACTCCTACAACATTTATTGACCACTCTGATGTAGATGGTGCTTGGTCCTGTCATGAGTGCAGGGGATTGGACTAGATGACCTCTAAAGGTCCTTCCAGTCCTATGATTCTATGATCATGTTACACACAATGAGTAGTTGTCATAAATCTTGATATGCGGTATAGCTTTTTAGAGGATGACCACTGCAGTTATACTGTTAGGCTGTTTCTAGACTGGCAAGTTTTTCTGCAAAAGTAGCTGCAGAAAAGTTTAACGGAAAAGTTTTCCGTTAAAAGCATTTTCGGAAAAGCGCGTCTAGATTGACAGGATGCTTTTCCGCAAAAGCACTTTTTGCGGAAAAGTGTCTGTGACCAATCTAGACGCGCTTTTCCGCAAAAAAGCCCCGATCGCCATTTTCGTGATCGGGGCTTTTTTGCGGAAAACAGTATTGTGCCATCTTCACTGGCCCTTTTGCGCAAAAGTCTTTCAGAAAAAGACTTTTGCCCGAACGGGAGCAGCATAGTATTTCTGGAAAAGCACTGACGATCTTACATGAGATTGTCAGTGCTTTGCAGGAAATTCAAGTGGCCAGTGTAGACAGCTGGCAAATTTTTCTGGAAAAGCGGCTGATTTTCCGGAAAAACTTGCCAGTCTAGACACAGCCCACTGTGTCTAGCCAGGCCCTTAGTTAGACACAGAAAATTTGAAGATAATCTGCCTATGCCTGTCCATTTTAGAGTACTTTGAAAATTTAGCTCTAAACAGCAAGTGCACTACAAACTCTGGATTTGCTCCCACTTTTCTGCTACATGGCCGCCTCCACACCTACTATGAGACCCCACGTAGGGCCTTGCACCTTTCTGGGCTTTGACACTGTTTACCTTGTTGACAACAATGAAGCCTTTGGAATCAATGTTAATGCCGCTTTGCTTCAGAAATCCTGTTGCTGGACTTGCACCTGCCAGAAAGGCAAAGGACATTGTGCAAATGAGTCTAAATCCCAAACACTGTTGTGCTCACAAAAATGGATGTCTGAGCGCGTAAGGACCTGCTAACTCCAGCAGTCACTTTCCTGCCAATGTCAGTTCAGTTCCATGATAACTGTGTGCTCCTCAATTAATAGCTGCTATTGGGTCTCAGGAATTGTGCTGGGTGTGTGGGCAGCAAAGGAATGACGGGCAGGGGGCTTGAGAGCCTTCTTGGCAGAATTCAATGGATGGGGAGGATTTGGCAGCAGCTAAGGCAACAGTGGAAATGCACAGGCCCAGGGATAAACTCATTTAAATATGGACCACATGTGCAGCTGCATTTGGAAACTAGGTAACTGTTTACATCAGATGGCATACCTTCTCTCCCTCCTTTACCTTCCCCTGCAATACAGGCAGTCCCCGGGTTACATACAAGATAGGGACTATAGGTTTGTTCTTAAGTTGAATTTGTATGTAAGTCGGAACTGGTACATATTGTAGGGGAAACTCTAGCCAAACATTTCTCCAGAGCTCAGTTTTATTCTCCCACACCTCACTTCCCTCAGTCCTTTATTCTCAAGCTGAGGTGTCTGCTGAGAAAAGCCGCTCCGCGTCTCCCTGGTCTGCTGGGGGGAAGCAGCTAGTGCGGGGTTGCCTCACCCCATTTGTAAGTAGGGATCCGATGTAAGTCGGATCCATGTAACCCGGGGACTGCCTGTACTTCCTTTCCTTTACAGACTCCTGTGCACCAATTAGCTAGCCCCATTCCTACTCTATATACACATTTTTAAAAATAGCAGAACAATCTCCTTTGAAGTGTGGAGCTAACACACTAATTCAGGGGTGGGCAATAATTTTTGGTGAGAGGAGGGGCACTCCAAGATTTTGGAAAGTGGTCAAGGGCCTCACTTTTCTGTGGAGGAGGTGCGGGTAGGGTTGCCAGGTAGACCCCGCAAAAAAAAAACGGACACACTTGATCATGGGCGGGAGGAGGGAGGAGGGAAACTGGCCAAAAGGGGGGTGAGGCTGGCCGGGAGGTGGGCAGGGCGGGAAGCAGAG